TATAAAGCATATATATATATATATATATGCATGTATATATATATATATATATATATATATATATATATATATATATATATATATATATATATTTTAGTATAAGGATGTTAAAAAATTAACTTTGGATTTAGTCAAGAATGAAAATGATATCTTTTATTTCTCCAACACTATAAGTGAATGTTCACAGTCCTCAACCTCTGAGCCCTCTAGTCGATGAGTTATATATTTTATTTGATTTTCGCCGATTTTAGAAGAGGTTAAATTTGGAATCTGCCTTTTTTTCAATTGATACAATTCATAATGAAGAATAAAAAATACCTTGTATTTTAAAGAATAAATATAAATCGCACTCACCGCGATGATAAAGATTCAATTTATGTATTTGTTACAAAAGCTGATAAAGAAAATTATATCATCATTAGAAGAAGGAAAGGTATGCAAACATTACTAATTTCTGCAAAAAAATAATGTCGCCATTTTTAAAATGGTGTCTCTATTTTGTAAACTGTTTCAACTTGTAATTAGTAGAAGTACAAATAAAGTAACATTTAAAGTTTAAATATATTTTTTTCTAATTAGTGAGTAATTTCCGTAGTTGTTTTATCATATCAACTCTTACATGGTTATTTAATAACTAAATTATACTTGAGTTTATAAATAAGCATTGGCCATATTTATACTTGAGGTAAAGATCGAGTTTTTACTAAAGTCTATAGGTAAATATTGGTCGGGTTTACATTTGAGTCTATAGGTAAAATTTGTGAGTGTTTATACTTGAGTCCATAGGTAAATATTGGTCGGGCTTATACTTGAGTCTATAGGTAAATATTGCTAGTGTTTATATTTGAGTCTATAGGTAAATATTGGTTGGGTTTATACTTAAGTATATAGGTAAATATTGATGGTGCTTATATTTGTGTCTACTAGTAAATGTTGGTCGGGATTATACTTGAGTATTAGGCAAATATTGATCATGCTTGTTTTCAATTCTGTGAGCAAACATTGGTCGTGTTTATATTTGAGTCTACAGGTAAACAGTGATCGTCCAGACCCCAGTTCCAACGCATTCACTATGTAGGTGTCGCCTTTCGAGGCGGTCTAACCCTTCTGAAACCACTCTGAAAAGCAATTATTGTTTGAGTTACAAATAGTTATAATATAAATTCTAACGACAGAAAGTCACTTGAAACGTAATAGGTTAAATGTATAATAAGTTATAAGTAATAAGTAAAATTGTACTTGCACAGACATGAGTTAACAAATATACGCGTGAAATGCAGATAAATTTACGTGTAACAAATGCAATAGTGGATTTAAATATTTGCCAATTTTAATTTATATATATATATATATATATATATATATATATAATAAATTAATTGATTTAAAATATGGTTTTTCGCTACACAGTTCTAACCCTTTTTCAAAAATGGAAGCTAAAAGCTTCGAATTTAATTTTGTAATTAAAGACATTAGTTCCATTTCATCCTCAAGCGAATTTTTGAAACATGGTTAGAACTGTGTGAAGGAAAAAACATATTTTAAATCAATTAATTTAAAATATTAATACTCTGTAAATTTACATTGAGCACTATTTTGTAAAATAAAAATATCTATAAGAACACCGGATTATATATCTTACTGTTCTTTATATATATATATATATATATATATATATATATATATATATATATATCAAGTATAGGATTGGTGTATACGGCATAAATTCCAATAACCAACAAATACTATTCTTAAAAGAGTGCTCAATAAAGAGTAGAGTAAATATTATTATTCATTCGAAAATTATAACATAAATATGTTATAAAATCACTAAAAAAAATAGCCATTTTGTTTCAACATTTCTGGTGTCTTATCAAGTGATGATGTTGTATGTAGAATAAAGGGTTTTAAAAGGTTTATACATTCAACACCATCACTTGATAAATAAATAACCTACAAAGGGTCGATAAACCGTAAAAAACGAATCAATCTAAAAAATCTTTAAAAAACAGGCAGGGAGTCCTAAAAGGTTCCTGGTTGGGAGGAGGTAATTTTGAAAAATAGTCCAATAATTAACAAACGGGGAAAGATGTTCTTCGGAGTTATTTTTTATTGAAATTTATTTAAAGAAACAAAGTAGCGTGTTTTGAAATCATTTTTCTTTACTTCCAATTGCTTGATTCCAAATCGGCTTTTTACATAAAACAAATGTAATTATGACGATTTAATGTTTGTTTAAATAACGAAACTCATTCTATATCTTTCCGTTTACTGATCTCGGCCAATCCACCACCCTCGACTGACAGAGATTGTTTTTCCCTTCGTCTCTTTTCGCCATTTTGCCTGTTCGTCTCACATAAATCGACGCGTTCATTCGTTCGTTGTAAATTCGACTTGCAAAAACGATGCGCGGTTGATACGTACGTAATGAAATGATTGATGTTGATCTGTGATGCGATTTGAAAGCTTGGAAGTAAATAATAACTGGTGGAGGGTGGCGTCAGGGTGAGTGAGAAAGGGCGGGAAGAGAACGTCTAGCTAGAAGGAGAGCTAAAGAGGGAGAAGTGGGCTTAGCATCTTGCAGAAAGAAAGAAAGAAAGGAAGGAAGGAAGGAAGGAAGGAAGGAAGGAAAAAGAAAGAAAAATGAAGAAAGAAAGAAAGAAAAAGGAATAAAGAAAAAGAAAGAAAGAAAGAAAGAATCAGGTAGAAAGAAAGAAAAAGGAAGCAAGAAAGAAAAAGAAAGAAAGAAAGAAAGAAAGAAAGAAAGAAAGAAAAAGAAGAAGAAGAAAGAAAGAAAGAAAGAAAGAAAGAAAGAAAGAAAGAAAAAAGGAAGAAAGAAAGAAAAAGAAAAATGAAGAAAGAAAGAAAAAGGAAGGAAGAAAGAAAGAAAAAGGAAGAAAGAAAGAAAAAGGAAGGAAGAAAGAAAGAAAGAAAGAAAAAGGAAGGAAGGAAGAAAGAAAGAATGAAAAAAAAGAAAAAGGAAGAAAGAAAGAAAGAAAGAAAAAGGAAGGAAGAAAGAAAGAAAGAAAAAGGAAGGAAGAAAGAAAGAAAAATGATGAAAGAGTGAAAGAAAAAGAAAAAAAGAAAGAAAGGAAGATAAAGGAAGGAAGAAAGAAAACAGAAAAGAAGAAAAAGAAAGAAAATTAAAAAAAGAAATGGTATAAAAATGCTTAAAAAAGAGAGAAAATTGGAGAAAGAAAGAACGAACAAAAACAAGGAAGGACAAAAAAAGAAAGATAAGGAAGGAAAGAAAAAGGGAAACAAACAAAAGAAAAAGTATAAAATTATTTAAAACAAAAAGAGAGGAAAGAAAATAGAAAGTAAGGAAAAAGTTATAACAATAGTTAAAGAGAAATATAAAACAAAGAAATAGAAGGAAAGAAAAAAAAGAAAAGGTATAAAATTGTAAAAAAAAAGAGAGAAAAGAAAACGGAAAGAAAGAGGAAGAATGGAAAAGATATCAACATGGCTAAATACAAAAGAGTGAAAAACCAAAAAGAAAGAAACAGAAAGAAAAGAAGAAAGAAAAGAAAGAAAGAAAACGAAGAAAATAAGGCAGAAAGTTGAATAAAAAAAAGACCGAAGAAAACAAAGGAAGTATAGCGAAAGAAAGAAAACGAGAAAAGAAAGAGAACAGCGAAGACAATATCAAAAAATGGAAAGAAATACGATGTAACTCAAATGAAGGAGAAACTATAAAAGAATTATTGCAGCGGAAGAAAGGAAAGAGAAATGAAGGAGAAAAAGAAAAAAACTGAATCATGGGAAATAAATAGATAAATAAATATACTTATAAAAGGTTTACGTATATAAATAAATCATAGAAAAAAAAATGAACATATATACAAAGGAAAAAACACCCTGTAATAGAGATGCGAAACGTACAAAATCAAGACAAATACAGAGTGAGAATGAGAGTGGGAGCGGAAGAGAGTGAAATACGAAGCGGTGTGGGGGGTGCTGTGTTTAGGAAAAGGGATTGGGGAGGGGGAACGGATTCAAGGTTTGCACCTTGCTCCTCAAAAATGATCAAATTGAATCGGCCCAATGCTTAACAAGATGATCGTCTCTCCTGATCGACAGGATTACCGGGCGAACGTTTATCGGTCCGTTACGCGACATGGTTTATTCATGGGATAATACCCATGCCATTGAGATGACAGGCTCGTCGGTAAGCTGGTATTTATCGGAGAAGCAGAGGGTGGGGTTGGGAAGAGAAATGCAAAGAAAGAAAAGAAGAAAAGAAAAAGGGAAAAGAAAGGGAAGAAGAAGAAGGAAAGGCAGGAAACGAGAAGGAGAAAGAGAGAGAGAGAGAAAGGGGGCGTATAATATGATGCAGTATGAATGAAAGAAAGAAAGTAAGAAAGAAAGAAAGAAAGAAAGAAAGAAGAAAAAGAATGAAGGGAGAAAGAGAAAGAAAGAAAACAAGAGAGAGAAAGAAATGGGAAAGAGAATGAGAGAGAGAGAGAAAGAAAGAACGTAGGAACAAGAGAAAGTTAAAAGGGATGTATGAAATAATACACTCATAAATATAAGACACCTTAAAACTGTACTTTTATCACACACACACATGTACAGGTGTACACACACACACACACACACACACACACACACACACACACACACACACACACACACACACACACACACACATATATATATATATATACAAATGTGCCTGAGTGGGCGTCTGCAGCAGGGATTAGCTAACCGCCCTAGTAGACAGGCATCCTCGAATACGAGTGGCCAGCCATCTTATATATATATATATATATATATATATATATATATATAGTGGCTGAATACCCGTTTCCTGGGAGTACACACGTCTGCTAGGGCGGCTAGCCAAACCCTGTTGTAGGATACCTGTTCGGTCACATTTGTTATTGTTCAGAAACCACCACATAGCCAATCTGGGGTATACACTGCAACAATGATGGCCTTAATAACAGTTTCTGGGAGATAGTGCATAAGCTATCTTGATCAGCAGTTTGAACAACACCTCGATCACGATGACTTGTGACTTCATGCTAGAACAACCATCAGCGTTTTCCTAATAGTTTTCACTGACGATAAAATAAAATCGGGTATAATCATCGGATTCTACTTAAGAGCACTCAAAATTTGCAGCCCACAATATTTACATATAGAGGAAAAATTTCTTGAAAACATTTTCAAACTTCTTCAGTACCCTAATTATTTTGTATTTATTGCGAAACAAAAGGCTCATAAAATATTCCAAAATAGAAAAACGGTTCCTCCAGGCAAACCCAGTGAATCAAAAACATATACGGTTCTACCAACTCACTCTAGCTAAAATCAACATAAAATTTGTTACGACTACATCTAAAACAATAAAAGGCTTAGTGAATACTAAACAAAACAATAAGCTAAAACTTGAAGAAGGAATTTGCTCGATCACCTGTAATAATTGCCACAAAAAATACATAGGAGAGACCTGAAAGAATCTAAATAAAAGATTATATGAACACGAAAGGGATATTTTACAAAACAACACATCAAATGCGTAACGCGACTGGCCACAATTTTGACATAAAATACTACTCTGATCAAAGGAGAAAACAATCCCCTACGAAGAAAATGTTTAGAGAGTGACTTAATTGCAAGGTCATCCACAGTAAATTTGCGCCGTGGATCTTACATTTCACCATTCCTGTCAGGTCTTTTATTATCTCATTTTGGGATATCTTATAATAAAAGTGACGGAAAGAAAAATAAAAAAATAAAAGCGGGTAGATTATATATATATATAAAAAATAAAAGCGGGTAGATTATATAAAGAAAAAAAAATTAAATTCCCAGCATCACACGTTCGTGCGCATGCGTAGTCGCACAATCCTAACAAATTTGGTCAGACGAATTCCTATTGACGAAACGCGTAAGACAAAAACTTTTTTCACTTTATCATACATCATTTTCCCAAATATTCTTCTTGATATATAAAAAATTATATATCGTTATCTCATATATACATATATTTATATATTGTTATTTCATGTATATATATATATATATGTGTGTGTACATATATATATTTGTGTGTGTGTGCGGGTGTGTGTAAAGAGAGTTTTATGATTTTTTATTCATTTTTTCTAGCCTTCTAACACACTCTTGGTCCACATTAAACAAAACTTATAAAAACATTAGAAAAACTGAATAAAAAATTTATTGATATATATGCACGCTAAAGGTCATTTCACAGCATAGATTACGGAAACTGCGGTAGAACGCACGCTAAAGTAGTACATTTTAATCTAGCTCCTGATCAGTACTTTGCGTCACCCAGTGAAGTTCAAACACTACTGATCTGAGAGACGAGCTTATCTCTCTCTCTCTCTCTTCATATATATATATATATATATATATATATATATATATATATATATATATATATATATATATATATATATTTGCTTATCGTGTCGTTTCTGATTTATTTGTCGATAAACGTCCGTCAGTCTTATTCCTGAACGATTATTTTTTTATTTTTGCACGCCATCAGACTATTTTGGAAATAATCGATCGAGAATTTCTCTTCTTAAATGATGGAAGATTAAAATGCCTTCTTTTCAGTTTGTAAAACCACGACAAATCTTCGGATAAATTCGTTAATATTTTTTATTTTACTTACTTTTTTTATAAGATATCGTTTTTTTTCTTGTGTATAAGATTTCGTTTCTTTTTTTTCATGGCGTAAAAGGGAGTTTTTACCTTATTTTTTATATTTTTAAATACTTTCTATTCGGTTATTTTTTTTTTTTTATTATTATTAAAGAATACTTTATTTCTACAAGTTTATTTAACATTTATTTCTTTAAAAACTTCTAGAAAGTTTTTCAATTCCTTTTTTCTTTTCAGACTTCTTTTTGAACATTTTTCCCATTTTACCGTTTTTTGCAAACTTCGCTAATCAGAAAAATCGCTGCTTACTTTTTCTATCTACTTTTCTTTCTTTCTTTCTTTCTTTCTTTCTTTCTTTCTTTCTTTCTTTCTTTCTTCATTGAACACGATAACCTTTGATCAACCGACACCAGAGAAATTTCTTTCGTCGAAGTGTCTCAGCGATTTATTTCCTAATATTGCACCACTCTTTCTTTCTTTCTTTCTTTCTTTCTTTCTTTCTTTTTTTTTCTTTCTTTCTTTGAACTTGATTATTATTGCTCAACCGACACCACGGAAGTTTCTGTCGTCAAAGTGTCTCAGCGATTTACATCCTGACATCTCACAACTTTTTTCTTTCTTTCTTTCTTTCTTTCTTTCTTTCTTTCTTTCTTTCTTTCTTCATTGAACACGATAACCTTTGATCAACCGACACCAGAGAAGTTTCTTTCGTCGAAGTGTCTCAGCGATTTATTTCCTAATATTGCACCACTCTTTCTTTCTTTCTTTCTTTCTTTCTTTCTTTCTTTCTTTCTTTATTTATTTATTTATTTCTTTCATTCTTTCTTTCTTTCTTTCTCTTTTTCTTTCTTTCTTTCT